CCTTCCTTCCTTCCTTCCTTCCTTCCTTCCTTCCTTCCTTCCTTCCTTACATCTTAGGATATTTAAATACTGATAATCTATGAAGTCTTCCAAACTGCTGCTATGTCCATTCCTTAGTGTTTATAAAGCAATTTGAAGGTAGGCCATCTTTTTATGGATTGGTCTGGTCTAATCCAGTCTGGTCTGGTCTATATTGGCTATCAGAGGTGTCCACAGGGTGTGGTCAAAAAAGCCAAGATGATGGCCACAATTTTTTATGTGAACTGACACACATAGAAATGCTCTTCCACAAAATCCCTTGTTTTGCAGCATAAGTTGGGCCTTTACAACCTAATGTAGGTCGTGAACTTAGTGGGCTGGCCGAGAAGTCACATATGATATCTGTAACTGGCCAAAGAATTGCAAGACATTATAAGAAAAACTTCAACACGTCAAGAATCTCCAATGCTTTTTTAAACGTTCTGTTGTAAGGTGGAGCGCATTTTCTTCTTGGGGAGAGGTGCTAGAAATCTCCCAAGGGTTTCCTTTGCTTTATGCTTTGTTTGAAGGAGGAAGGCCTTTAGGTCACCTGTTCCTGGAGCCAAGTTCTGGTGGAGGGAAGTGGGAACAGTGCTGTCAAAGATGGGCTGGACTCTCTCGTATCTTCTGTCACACAGAGGCTGCTTTCATCTCATCTGGCTCCCTTCCTCCAAAGTAGATAAAGAAGTTTTCAGAGCTTTAGGAAGAAGAAGTTCAGAGCTTGAAGAGAACTTGATTGACTGGAGTTGACTTAAGCAAGGTTTGGTATGTGGATGTTACCTTTATGATTTGGAATCATGGTGAAGAAGAGCTCAAGGAATCCCTAGAACCTCTGAATAGTATCCACCCAATATTCAATTTATGACGGGTGAGGGATGGCAAATTTGCATTGTTGATGTTCTGATTATTCAGAGAGAAACTCAATAACCAGGGTATACTATATCCCATGAGCCAACACACACAGATCACTGTCTACATAAAAATTCCAACCATCATCCCTGCCAGAAGAGAAGCGTCATGAAAACTTAGCAACCGTGCCAGATGTATTTGTGAGCCTGAAAGGTTATCAGACAGGTTGAGACATACAGATAGTGCTTTACAAGCTAACAGATGCTCTGTCGGGGAGATCAGGCAGGTGGTGCAATCCAACAATAAAAATAATAATAAATATACATCCATGGACAAACCAACTCCAGTGGGAAGGTGTTTCTCCCCTATATTGAGAAGATCACATATCAAATTGGAAAAGGATGAGAGAAACACAACTTAAAAACCATCTATAAACCAATGAAGAAAATCCAAGAAATCATTCAATCACCCAAGGATGGCAGAAATCCACTTTCATCATCATCAGTTTACTGCATATCCTGCAGTTGTGGACAGGTACATATTGGAACCACAAAATGCAGTACTAATGCCCAATTAAAGGAATATGATTAAAGGACAGCCTGAAAAATCAGCAGTAGTGGAACATGCACCTGTACATAATGGACATAAGATCCCATTTGAAGACACACCAGTACTGGCAACTACATCCAACTATTGTGGGATTGTGCAAAAAAAATGCTATCGAGATCCATAAACATTGTAACTACTTCAACAGGAAGGAAGAGAGTCTGAAGGGCAACAAAGCCTGGTTCCCAACTTTATGCTCTACCAAGATTAACAGCCCTTACAACAGGTAGAACACCAGCCTTAAAATTGGCATTGAAGATAACAAAGTGGTAGATAACTTCTACCTTATAGGATTAACTATCAACAGTAAAGGAACAGTCAAGAAATATGCTGCAGACTAGCACTTAGTATAACAGCCATAAAGGCCTTGGAAAGATATTCAAATGCCATGATGTCTCTACACCTACAAAGATCAGAATTGTGTAAGCCATGATATTTCCTGTGACACTATGGAAGTGAAAGGTGGATTTTGAAGAAGCAAGATAGGAAGAGTATTGACGGTTTTGAACTTTGGTGTTAGAGAAGACTCCTGGGAATACTGTGGACAGCCAAGAGAACAAGCAAATGGATCATCAAAAAAATCAACCCAGAGTTCTCACTCGCACAAATAAGCAGGCTCAAATTATCCTTCAGACATATTATGCAAAGACCTCTCTCTCCAGAGAAGGTGCTCATGCTGAGAAAGGTGGAAGGAAAGAGAAGAGGATAACCAGCAGCAAGGTGGATGGATTCAGTTATGGTGGTAATGAGTGCACTATTGAAAGATGTGAAAAACCAAGTTATCACCATGGAGAAAATCTCTGACTCTCTTGATGCCACATAGTCAACCAGACTAATCAACAGCAAAGAGAATCTACAGCTTCACCTGAAATGACACCAAAACAAGTTAATCATGAACTAGTTCTCATAGAATTTCCTCAAATTTGACCAATCAGAAGTTTACCTGGATGAAGAACCAGTCAGGAACCAGCATTTTTGGACTCCCGTGACACAGGAGATCAGAGATGAGCTCCAATGGAAAGTTTATTCAAAATCCAGATTATTTGGTTACAAATGCAATAGCCCAGTTTAGTCCCTACTCAGTTGCTTGTGAGCTGCCAAGAAGTGTGAGAAAAGAGATCACTTTGCCTCTGAAGATGCCAGCCATGGTTGCTGATGAAACATCAGGATACCAGATAAGACCATAGGCATTTATCCCAGAAGCTGATCACGTTGGCCATGAAAACATACACTAATATATCTTCCCTGTAGCTTTCCTGAATTGTGTCTCCCCTCAGTGTGGGACTTCCTAGCAGCATTGTTAGCACTTATCTCAAAGAGTTGCTTGTCTGCAGATGTTAATTCACCTTGGTCAAGACCCCCAGCTGATTAAAAAATAAGGAAAGTTCATTGTCTAATTCTTCTAATTGATCTAAACTTTTGACTCCACCAGTTCTTGAACAAAAAAGTGGGTTTGTTGTTTTCAAGTTTGGAATCCCCCATAAAATTATCTTAGTATAATCATAAGGGCCAAACCAGAGTTGACATAGCATTGCACAATGCGCTTCCTTGTTCCCTTATATCGAATTGGGGGGGGGGGGGTTTCCATACTCGCCAGAGTAATTGGACCTAAACACCAATTTGAATTGTCAAAGGTGTTCTTGGGGAGACAAAATGATAGGAATTGCACAGCTCTGCCTCTTTTGTAGATGTGTTGTGGTGT